AAACATCCTTTGTAAACCTTGAAAAATATGGTTGTGCTGTATGTGGTGCTTTAAAGTTAGTCAAAGAGTTAACTTTACTTCAAGATATTGATCAGAGCTTGCTATTCCACTTACAACTTCCTAGTATAACTCATTGTGAGAGACACTCTACAAAGCAACCAGTTGTAGATATATCTGGTTTTGTACTTGATAAGAGCTGTAAGCATATATGCTCAAAGTGCCATGATAGCTTGCAAGAACAAAGAAATCCTCACATAGCCTTAGCTAATGGTCTTTGGATTGGTCAAGTTCCACTGCAACTACAAGGCTTATCATGGACTGAGCAGCTGCTTATAGCCAAGGTGATCAAAAACTATTGTGTTGTAAGAGTATCCAAGTCAAAAATGCATAAAATGCGAGCAAATGCTGTATGCCATGCTGTATCTATGCTCAAAATTCTTTCAGTCTTACCACCAAAGCATGAAGATCTTGATGATGTATTGGCATTCTTGTATATTAGTTCAACTAAGCTTACACTGAGGATTGCAAGCGTACACCATTTTTAATCAGGTATAACTATGTGTTAGCTGCATTGGAGCAGCTTAAGCTTAATCACTGTGACTATAAGGATGTTGAAATCTCTAAAGAGAATATGGCAGAGTATCCAGAAGATGTTCCACCTGTCAATGTAGATTATCATGAAGCACAGACTACAAAAGATGCAGAAGCCATGGCTGTAAATGATAATGAGGAAGAGAATGGAACAAGTGAAGGAAACTGCACATTTACTGTCCAGGCCTTGACTTCTGATCAGCTTACTGATCTGCTCAACTGAGATGAGTATGAAACTATCAGAAACAAGGCTTTAAAACACTTCAAACAAGGTGGAAAGGCATTGGCTACTGTATCCAATCAGGTACCGGACTGGACCAGAAAGTGGACCACCCCACAATATTTTGTGGATAGCACAGATATATATGGGCATGATACTGAAATCGACTGTAGAATATCATTTATATGAGCTTCATCTACTATGATATCAGGTTTTACAACTATCTGACACGAGCCAGGTGAGATCGAGACTGAATTCGTGTGCCGTATCTGCAAATTGCCTGTTTTGGATTGCCTTTTGTGCGTGCGCAAGCAACCACATCTTCTCTACCCACCCAACTACAATGCCCACACCTCCAATATCTTGTCTGCTCCTAGGCCCAATATCTATCTATGGATTCCGGTTATTTTGAATGTCTGTTCCAGGTGTTCAGTTTGGCTAGAAGCTATCTGTTCTGAAATGGTGGCCCAGAGGCTCCCAAAAACATGCCCCAAAGATATGCGCACCTATACAGCACTCCTCGAACCTGCCCCACGAGACTGCACGCATCATTTTTAAATGCCAAAAGCTTCTGCTTCCTAATGTTTTTATATTTTTAGGAATTAAACTCTATTGCCAGCTGCACTATCTTTCTGTGGCTTCCTATTTCCACTTTCGGGAAGATACCATAGTACAAGTGATCAAACGGCGCTTGATGGTTTGCTGTGCACCCAAAACAACAGGATTAGGACTATAAAGGGTTTTGCCTGCTTTGGGAGTTGGTTCAGAGGTGACTGGTGTAGTGGAGGTGATGATATTCATCAAAAATGTAGCCCCTTGGTATGTGCTTGCCATCTGAAACACTGAAATGGCTTTCTCCTCTTCTCTGTACTGCTCTACCAGTTAGAAAGTGTTCAAATGAAGGCAGCAGTCAGTGCAGCCTCCTCCATACTCTTCCTGTGACAAGAGCTGGCTAGACACCATCTTGCATTTGGATTCTGGAGCTCTTCTTGCCTTCTAACCCTAGTTGCATGCCTTACATTCTGTTGCTGCTCAGCCTGCTATATATTTAAGTGCTCAGAATATCATATATTGCAACTTTTCCTATTCTGATACCTTTCAATCATAAACAGCAAAGTATATTATGAGCTTGCTGCCCAATTGTACCTCAAAAATAGTCCAGCATGCAGTCTGGCGCCTATCCCCATACCAGGTGGTCCGCTTCTTGGTCAAGCCAGTTTCCTGCACTGCAAGTAGGAAAATATTCATACCATATTTTGTACTCATTGTAAAAATACTGGAGCTTAATTTATATAAAAACAGTACAGATACCCATCAACTGGGCCTATAAACTGCTTGATTTTGGCTGCATGGCAGGGTGCAAACCCATCAGTATGCTAGACTGGTTCACTTCCTGAGCGCTTACAGTATTGCTCATAAGAAAGATCCAGAGAGTTTGTATGATGATCCTCAGTTATATCCACAGATGTTCCCTTGGCTCTTTCCATATTGTCTAGGTGGCCTTGGCAATAACAGAAGTCAGCAAGCTGTATCTGAGACATTGCATAAGAAGTATTTACTTATGTACCATGATAAGAGATTTCAAATGAATTCATACTTTCCTTTGATTGCCTTCAATTATGAGCAGATTAAGAAGGCTACTACTAGAGGTTTTCTGCTGGCTAACAAGGATAACTTTGACCAGATCTCTACTCGTCTACTCAACACTAAGGACTCTGTGCTTACACAAATGATTGAGAAGCTTGAGAAAGGCCTTTTAAAAACTGATAACTTGACACCAGAGCAGCAAGAGTGTTACAAGATTATTAATGATATAGACTACATTAGAGCACATGTGCCTGCATCTAGAACAAACCATAAGCACATGAGAAACCAGATTTGGTTCTTGACATCATATCATAGTGCTCCAAGTTGGTTTATTACATATGCTCCTGCAGATATTAAACATCCAATTGCCATCTACCTTGCAGATACCAGTGAGAGAATTTTCCCTGCCAGACTATCAATGAATGCTTTAGGCTTATAGCAAATAATCCTGTAGCTGGAGCTTGATTTTTCAAGGTTATAACTGAGGCTTTCATTAAACATGTGCTTGGTTATAACAGTAAGCATGCAGGATTGTATGGCAAGACAGCTAGATATTATGGAACTGTTGAACAGCAAGGTAAATTGACTCTACATATGCACATGCTTATATGGATCAAGCACTCTTTAACTCCTCAAGAAATTAGAGATAAAATCATGGACTCAGAGTCAGAGTTCTAGAGGAGAATGGTGGCATACTTGGAAAGTGTGCATATAGGCGAATTTATTGGCAAGACCATGACAGAGGTAGCCGATGATCTTGAGATGAAGAAAGCAAAGAACCCTTCCAGACAGAATCCTACAACTACCTTGCCTAAATCTATATCTTCTCCATGTGGTGATGACTGCCAACAACTGTGTACAACCTGTCAATCAAGTATGTCATGGTGGGAACAGTTCACTAAGACAGTGAATAAGCTGCTCTTCTTGACCAATGTGCACTCCTGTAACAAAGACTGTAAGAACAATAAGTATGGTACTTGCAAAAGCAGATTTCCTCGTCCAATTCTGCTAGAAACTCAGGTAGACCCAGAGACAGAAGCTCTGAACTTGAAGAAAGGAGAGGCCATGCTTAATACTTTTTCACCTGTGCTTACTTATCTTATGAGATGTAATATATGAGAGAAATTTGAACTTTTTTGTTACAGAAAATATGCAAAAAAAGCTTGAAAAAATAAGTAAGAAAAGGCCGTATTTTTTTGCTCAGTATCCAGCAGTCTGGCAACTCAGCAATCCGGCAGTCAAGTCAATTATCTGCCGGATGCCGCTGTTCCCTGGGCACTTTGACAAACGGTCTGATGGACAGTCGACTCAGCTGCCGAGTTGCCGAGTTACACTAGATACCAAGAAAAAATACGATATTTTCTTACTTATTTTTACAAGCTGTTTTTGCATATTTTTGCAACAAAAAAGTTTCAAATTTCTCTGGTGATACTGATGTCACAAGCTTACTATCTGGCACAGCTATCAAGTCTGTTGTAGCTTATGTTACAGACTATATTACCAAGTCACCACTGAAGACACACCATGCTTGAAGCTGTGGAGAGAATATTTGCCAGAGAGTCAGAGATGCTAGCTGGGCAAAATAATAGAGTTGTCAAAGCCAGAAAGGTACTCACACAGTTTGTAAACTCTCTGACTTCACAAAGTGAAATTGGTGGCCCTATGGCATGCATGTATCTGCTAGATTATCCAGACCATTATACCAGCAACTTATTCCAAAGATTCTATTGGAGATCATACGTGAATGAGGTCAGGAAAGAAGAAAGTGCCAGTCAGAAGTGTTCAATCTGGGAGGTAAACTCGACCAGAGGAGTGCTAGAGACCACAGCTCGAGAATCCGTACCGCTCCAGCATATCGAGGATGTACTGGCGCTGTGACAGATGAATGCGGCAACTCGAATGGTCGCTGGTGATTGGATGCCCAGGAGGAACAATGTGAAACCAAGATCGTGCAGATTGAAGTGCTGAGACAACTCCTGCATGACCCGGTCAGACTCTGCAGCATTGGTTGAAGCAATGGTAATGTCGTCAATGAAGACAGGCATTATGACACGCACTGCATCCCTGCGATAGAGATAGAGCGAAGCATCAGACTTCAACCGACTGAAGCCCAGCTTCTCAAGTGTTGCATGCAGAGTCTTGTTTCATACTCGCGGCGCCTGCTTAAGCCTATAGAGAGCCTTGTGGAGGCAAAGGACGTCACCTGGATTGCCAAAGTGGAATCCATCTGGCTGCTCGATGTAGACCTTCTCCTCTAGCTCGCCATTGATGAAAGCGTTGGAGATGTCGAGTGAGTAAAGATCGAGGTCCTCGAGAGCAGCAAGGGCAAAGACAATGCGGATAGATGCCATGTGCACAGTGGGAGCAAAAGTCTCGAGGTAGTCGAATCTAAGGCGCTGAGCATAGCCCTTGACCACCAGTTGCGTTTTGTAGCGATCGAGGTCGCCATTGGAAAGGAACTTCTGAACAAAGACCCAACACGAGCCAATGGCCTTGCCAGGAGGCAAAGTGCAAGGCTTCCAAGTGTGATTTGATTGGCAACAAGTGCATTAATCTCTACCTGAGCAGCTCTTTGCCACTCCTCTGCATCTGGACGCTTCATGGCCGCGTTCCAACTGTTAGGCCAAGTATTCTGCGCAGAGGTTGGCTTGAGGCACAGCTCATCAGTAAATGCTTCAGACGGAGCTTTCTGAAGGCCATCATTGTCCTCATCCGCAGTCTCTTTGTCAGAGATGGGATCCTGCACAGGCTGAGGCGGTGCAGAAGGCTGGACCTTCCACCACTCTCCAGGAGGCCTGACATTGCGCCTGGGACGACGCTCTGCCAGTGATGGTTCAGGAGACTCGATGCAATATCCAGAAGGTCTGGGTTGCTGTTGAGAACGAGCAGGTGGTGGCTGAAGCAATGGAGAGGAGGAGACAGAGGGCAAATTGGCTGGTGGAGCACGAGAATGGACTTGATGATTGTCTGCAGCGGCTGGACGCTCAGTAGGCTCGTATTGAGCACCACTATGCATCTCCCCCCGAACACAAGACTGAGGAGGATCCACAAAGCCGGAAGACAGACCAGAAGGCTAGTAGAACTCGACCTCATAGGTAGAAGCCAGCGGAGAAGACGACAAGAGCGGGTGGGCGCGGAAAGAAGGGGCATCTGACCAGTTCCTGAGGCCAGGGAGATATTGCTCGTCGAAAACAGCGCGTTCAGAGATGATAGCTGTCTTAGTGGACAGATTGTAGAACATCCAACCCTTGTAGCCAGGTGGATAGCCAATAAACACGCACTTCTCCATGTGAGAGCCCAATGCGCCGCGTTTATTCTTCTGCACATGCACATATGTCAGGCAGCCCCAGATGCACAAATGTGACACATTTGGGTTCCAGCCATAGAAGGCCTCATAAGGTGTTTTGCCAGGCAGCGCGGTGGTGGGGCAGCGGTTGAGAACGTGCACCAGTGAGAACAAGGCCTCTCCTCAGAACAACGGCGGTAAACCAGCCTCAGAGAGCATAGCAGTGATTTTCTCTGCAAGGACGCAATTAAACTGCTCAGCTACACCGTTCAGCTGCGGCCGATTGTGCACATTGTGCTGTCTTTCGATGCCGTGCTCGCGGCAGAACTCCTCAGGCTCCTTGCTCATGTACTCGCCACCTTTGTCGTCTTGAAGTGCACCAATAAGGTGATCAAATAGCGGTAGCCAGACTGGGTGCGGACAGGGAGAGGGCCAGGGACGTCAGAATGAATGACTGTGAGTGGTTTGGAGGCGCGATTGGTAGAGGATAGGAATGGAGCAGCATTAAGCTTGCCTGCAAGACATGGCTCACAGATGGGATTGGCCTCCTGCTTCGAGTCGAGCTTCATCCCAGTGACTAGGTCACCTTTGAATAGATCTCGAATACTCTGGAGGTGCGCATGAGCGAATTGATGGTGCCAGAGCAACTCATCAAGTGGTAGAGTGAACGAGTTGGCGACTTGAGCAGAATCCATAGCAGGGATGACTGTTCCATTGAGGTAGGCAGTGCTAGAGGCATTGATAGAGGCTCAGAACAGTGTCTCGCCATTGCGGTCAAATTTCATGCAATCAGAATAGATGTGAACATTGAAACTACGATGACGAACGAGATACAGGACAGAGAAGAGGTTGGAGCCGAGTCTGGTACATGCAGCATTCTACTGAACTCCAGCTCGTGCACTAGCTTCTTCTTAACCTCTGGAGCGAACACTACTGACTCTACACCCTCAGAGTAGATGATGTGATCATTTGCATGACGAACAGTGACTCTCATTGGGGTGTAGTTGCGAAGCCAGTGTTTATGGGGTGTCATATGAGAAGTGGCCCCTGTGTCAGCAGTCTAGAGGAGGTGAGAGGCAGAGTCAAGAGTGGTAGAGTGGGCAGAGTGACACACAAAGGCTTGGCCAGCTGACTCGACAGAGTCTTCCTGAGCTGCTGCGGCAGTGGAGGACGATTTGGAGGCGTTTGAAGTGATAGGAGAGCTGGACTTGCCCTTGCCGCGTTGCTTCTTCTTCTCCTGCGCGTCCTTAGTTGCCTGGTCCTTCATGCATGCATAGCGAATGCACTGCACTTGAAGGTGACCTGGGAGCGAGTAGAAGTCGCACATACCGATATTGACAGACTGAAACGTTGAAGCAGACAGGACAGCTGTTGTTCCTGGCGTGCTGGAGCGAGTGCAAAGGGCCTCCTCATTAATGAAGGCAGCTGGAGTGTGTCCTTGTCGAGTTTGTCGAGTAGCTGCAAGGACGAGGCGAAATGGGAGTAGAAGGTGGGCAGAGCACGAACCATGGTCATAGAGACCAGTTCTGCATCAAGGTCGTCAAGTGTGAAGAAGGTAGGACGCAGATTCTTAATCTTGTGCATGGCAGCATCGATCCTGGTCAACTCAGACGATAGAGACTCGTTATCAGCCATGTGG